CAGAGCCCGACGCGGGGCTCGAACTCACGGACCGCGAGATCGTGACCTGAGCTGAAGTCGGACGCTCAACCGACTGCGCCACCCAGGCGCCCCCATTCTCTCTTTCTTTAGACAGGTTGCTCACTAGACTTGCCATAAAATTTTAATCCTGGGAACTGTCCTTCAGTGCCACCCAGGGATTTGTCTTTCCCCTTTCTTAAGATTTGAGATTCCTGTTTTCTACATCTAATGGTCTCCTTCCTCTTTCTTGGTTTATTCCCTTGTTTTGATGGAGCCCATCTCCTAGTAGCTTCCTGAAAAGGAATGCAAGAGAGGTAAATTTTAATAGACTTTGCATGTTTGAAAAGGTCTTCATTCTATTAACTTGACTGATAGTTTGGCTCAATGTGGAATTTTAGGTTAGAAGTTACTTTACCTGAGAATTTTGAAAACATCATTTAGTTGTTTTCTACCTTCCAACGTAGCAGTCGAGAAGTTGACATCTATCTTTATTCTTGATCTTTTATAGATGACCTGCCTTTTACTCCTCCCTGAGGGGTTATAGATTCTCTTTGTCACCATGTTTCATAGCTAAGCCATGGCATGGCCTGTCTTCATTCACTTGCTGGGTTCTCAGCACATTCTCTGTAGACACTTGTTCCTCTGTGCTGGGAAGTTCTCTTGAATCTCTTCTTTGATTTCCTTCCTTTCATTTTCTCTCTCCTCTTTTTCTGGAATTTCTTTTATTTGTATGTTGGCCCTCTGGATCAGACCTCTACTTTTCTTACCTTTTTCTCCTGTTTTCTGTTTCTTAAGTCATTTTGCTTTGCTTGATGAAAGATCTCCTAAACTTTATTTCAGTCCTTCTTTAGAGTTTTTAATTTTTAATATCACATTTTTTAATTTTCCAGAACTATTTCTGTTCTCTGAATATTTATTTTTAGCAGTGTACTATTCTTGTTTTAAGGATGTGATAGTTTTTCTTATCACTCAGAGGATGTTAATTGCCCCTGCCTTTTGAGAAATTTTCTTCTTGCATAAGAAGTTTTCTCCATGTTGCTTGTTTTGTCTATTTCGGTCCCTAGCTTTCATATTTTTAGATGTCTGATAATGCTTGGTGGTTTGCTTCTATTTGAGATTGGGGGACTAAAAACAGATAAAGCTGATTGGAAGTTCTGAGCATGTTGGTGGGGATTGTCAACCCTAAAGTTCTCTTTAGGGTGGGGTCTGGCTGGCCATTTGTTGGAGACTCCTAACATATCTTCATGTGTTTCTTCCCGGGCTTGTCATATTACCATAAGAAGTCTTTTCCAATCCCTGCCTGGAGAGTAGAGGCGAGGGCTGGACCTTTCAGCATGCCACGTGCAAACCCCTGTTTTGGGCGCTGCATACATGCCCTCAGTGGTTCCTGTGTCCTTCTGACCTGGAGTCTTGTGTCCTATCCTCTCTGAAAAATAAATCTCATCTCATATACAGGAAGAAATGGGATAGTTTCCCTGGGGTGTGGAGACATGACCTAAGTGCTTCTTAAATGTTTTCAACAAATTAGTTCTAGATACTGTTCTAAATTTTAGCTTATAAAACGTTGCTGTTGTCTCCCGTTACATCCATACTAGTAGGTTTATGTAAAAAAACAAAACAAAACAAAACAAAAACCCATTTTAGTTCTAGTGCTGTCAGAAGGAAGAGAGAATAATCAAATACGGAAGTTCAGTTCTCCGTTTTGACCCAGAAGCTGCAAATTTTAAAAACACATATTTTCCTTCTGTTCATAAGTGTCATTTATCCTGACTGACTTTCATGATATACAAGGAAGTAGGAGCCAGGCAGCTTATCTATCGTGTGTTAGAGCCCTTTGTGGGAGGGAAGCGAACCAGCCATGGGTGAGAGCCAGTTGGTTCAGGGCACAGAGCCTTAGGTACTTTATTTATTAAAAACTCATAATAACCCAGTGAGGTAATGTTCTCAAGGTCATCTGACAGATGACAAAACTCAGGCAAAAAAGAGGTTCCACAGCTTGAGTGAGGTCACACAGGTAGCAGTAATATGGGTATACCTGACCTTAAAGACCATACTGCTTATAACACCAAGAGAGATTATATATATATATTATATATATTAATATAATTATTATATATATAACATATATTA